GACACGACAGGGTGCCCCTTATACCTCTTTTATCATCTCAGTCCTGGAGGTGCTCCTCTGGTGTCATAGAGCAATGTTTTAATACTATCAAACTATGTAATTACTAGTCACAAATGTTATTTGTAAATCCATATCAAACAATATCAGCTGACACCCTCTTTCTGTCCTGGTGTCATATGAGATACAGGCAATTCATCCAGGCTTTTAACCATTCCAGCTAAGTTGTCCCATATTTGATGACTTGATAACTTACCATATTTTTTGCTCTATAAGACTCACTTTTTCCCTCCTAAAAAGTAAGGGGAAATGTGTGTGTGTCTTATGGAGCGAATGCAGGCTGCGCAGCTATCCCAGAAGCCAGAACAGCAAGAGGGATTGCTGCTTTTGCTGCACAGCGATCCCTCTTGCTGTTCTAGCTTCTGGAATTCAGATTTTTCTTCTTCTTATTTTCCTCCTCCAAAAACTAGGTGTGTCTTATAGAGCAAAAATACGGTATATGTGCTAGTGGTAACTCCTGGAATGGTGGACTCAGAACTGTCCCAATGCCTATTTTTATTTCAGTAATCAAGTTTTCATACCAAGGTAATCTCAGTAACCTAGAAATACTTGATGGTGGACAGTAGTCCATGAAAGCTTATGCCACAACCAGAAGACGTTTATTAGTCTTTAAGGTGTCACAAAACTCTTCGTTGATTTTCCTGCAACACTGTCCTGTCCTGTCTCCAATCCCACTTCCCTTACAGTGACCATTTTATTTCTTCCATTCAACCATTTATCAAATTGTATGGTGAATGGATACATGATGGGTCATTGATCAAATGAGAGTTAAAGTGGACGAACAGTAATTTTGAGTCAAGGAATCCAGTAGTTTGCCAAGTGAGTGCTGAAGTGAACAAACAGTATTAGACAGAGAATCAAAAGAGTGAAAGTAAAGTCAGAAAGATTTCATTGTCTGCATTGTGTATACTCCCAACCCTTTTGGTTTCAGGAGTCACTCAGCAAAGAATCCATTCAATTTCTTCTGAAAGATTTTTTTACTTTATTAAACCACATTCCCCCCCTCCATGGGTTGCTAATTGCAAAAGGTCTTGGGTCCAGCCGTGATCCACAACCGTGATCAGAACAAACATCAATATGTTTTGTTGCATCTATATATCTTCCTAGAGTGATCTCAAACAGCCTGCAACAAGATTACATGTGGTCACTGCTAAGTTGTGGGTGAACATATCAGACAACACAGCGATTCTCCAAACAGCTCTTGTTTATTCACAGATCAGAACAGAACTTTAGTACATAACACCCCTCCCCACCGAGATAAGGCGTTAGTTACAATTGTAATGGTTTTCTTATATACAGCACTACACGTAATGGTTCAATTAGGCACAAAAGCATATAGGTTACATTTTACATACTTCCATTAGACCAACAGTGTTACATGTCCAACAACATAGTCCTTTAAATAAGTTGGGCGCTTGGAAACTCTGCCAGACCGCCAGGGACCGGTACCCAGGTCCGGGGGGCCGCCCGATTCTTGCTGAGGCTGTGGCGTGACCCTAGGTGGCGTTGAAACCAAGTCCCCTGGATCTGCTGCTGTGGGTGGAACCTCCACAAGTGGAGTTGGCGGAATGTCAGGCATGGCAGTGGTCTGAGTCTGTGGGAAGTCCGGCAGACCCTCTGAAGCGGCTTGGTTTGGCTCCATGCCCACAGTTTGCGAGAGAGATGTAGGTGGAGCCTTGCCATCTGTAAGTGTCTGTTCTGGAGCCACGAGCGCAGTTGGGGGCACTGCGGTAGTGTCCAAGTCCCCAACCCTGCGCCTAAGCTGGTCTATGTGCTGGCACCACAAGTGTCCGTCTTCGAGTGCCACCTGGTACGAGCGAGGTCCAGTGACTCCCACTCTGTCTGGTTCCGGTGGTAGAACGCATTGCGGGCAGCAATCTTGGACGGCTTTGACGCGTAGTGGTTGCGGAGCTTCTCTTTAATCGTGTCCCATGGTGCTGCCTGGACTGCTACAGGTGCAACCAATGCTCGGGCCGTCTCAAACACCTCAGGCCCACAGAGGCTGAGGAATAGGCCCCGCTTCCGCTCCTGTGATACTTCCGTCAGCTCATTGGCTTGGAGGTAGCAGTCGAACCGAGCGAGGTAGGAGTCCCATGATTCAGAGGCTGGGGCAAACAGCGGTAGAGGCACGAGTGAAGCCATGGTTACGATGCCGACATGGAGGCGATGGATGGAACACCGTGCTCTAGCCAGAACGGTCAGCTCCGAATTGGTTCTGCTCCTTGATTTCGCTCAGTGTTTCAGCTCAGTGATTCAGCTCTGTTCAGCTCAGAGAGTGGCCACATCTGGCTGTGCTCTGATGTCCATCGATCCCACCTTCATCACCAGTGTTAAGTTGTGGGTGAACATATCAGACGACACAGCGATTCTCCAAACAGCTCTTGTTTATCCACAGGTCAGAACAGAACTTCAGTACATAACAGTCACAATCACTAATTTTTGAAAACAGCATTACTTATGCTAAGGACAATTATTAACACTATCTGGTAAGCATTTTTGTTTTATTTATAATTTATTTGTTTTACTTAGGAATTCCTGATTCCCATCCTCCTCCTCCTCCTCCTCCTCCTCCTCCTCCTCCTCCTCCTTTTGCTTCCCACATTGATTTCTGAGGACTCAATAATACACAGTCTGAGATCCTCTGAATTAATCTGTTCAGAGTTGAAGATATTTGACAGTAGAGATGAAGAATGACTGTCATATGACGGAAAGTCCCACCCCCAGCTTTCAATTATCAGAAATAAATAAGAAAATGAAGAATGAATCCTTTTGTGGTTGTGGGTGGAACAACATGAGCATTGTTAAATGATCTAAATACCATAGTGAATTAGACATTCTGATTCAGGGCCTTCTGAAGTGTAATAAACAGACTGTTAAAATTCACTCTGAAATTGATGTATTCAGAAGATTTTCTTGTCAGCAGGCAGCTAACGGACAGTTCCAGACATGTGGAACAAAAGCTTTTAAGCACTAGTGTAATTATTTTTCTTCTAGGTAACATCCTGGCTTTCTTCTTCTTCACATGCTTTATTTTGATGCCAAGAGAAATATAAGACAAAAAAGAAGGGGTGGCTCATGGTGAGTTTTAAAAAAGTAGCTGTTGAATAGACACCAAGTAATTTTCTCTCCATTGCATGTACTTCTGTTGAGGAACAATAGACCTCTGCTGTTTAGCATGGAGTTTTTTTAAAAAATATTTTTCTTATTTTGTGATGGAAAAAAATAAAAAACCAAAACTATACTATGCCTGAAAAAGAATATTTGGGGTGTGTGTTCCCGCAAAACAGAAGTTTCTAGTCACTTCAGTTTTTAAAACCCACCAGAAAATGAAGTGATCTTCATTACAAAATGACACCTCAATCCTTGGATTGAGGAATAGTGTAGAATAAGTGGGCTTGAAAAATCATTTGAGAAGTAATTAAAATTAATTAATTAATGTAATAAAATTAAGGTACTGCTTGAATGTTAAAAAACAACAACACCCCACCTCAAAGTGGTTGGAGGGACACATCTGAGGAGGCAGGTTTGAAGAAAAGTTCAAAGGTGATATTTTCTTGGACTGAGCAATCAAAACCACAGGAAGCCATAATAATTTACCTCTGGATAAATTAATGCCAGGGGTAGCATCCCCAGTGGCGTAGCGTGGGTTGTCAGCACCTGGGGCAAGTTAAGTAATTTGCACCCCCTAACCCGTGGAATTGCGCCCCCTAACCCGTGGATCATAGAATCATAGAATCATAGAGTTGGAAGAGACCACAAGGGCCATCGAGTCCAACCCCCTGCCAAGCAGGAAACACCATCAGAGCACTCCTGACATATGGTTGTCAAGCCTCTGCTTAAAGACCTCCAAAGAAGGAGACTCCACCACACTCCTTGGCAGCAAATTCCACTGTCGAACAGCTCTTACTGTCAGGAAGTTCTTCCTAATGTTTAGGTGGAATCTTCTTTCTTGTAGTTTGGATCCATTGCTCCGTGTCCGCTTCTCTGGAGCAGCAGAAAACAGCCTTTCTCCCTCCTCTATGTGACATCCTTTTATATATTTGTACATGGCTATCATATCACCCCGTAACCTCCTCTTCTCCAGGCTAAACATGCCCAGCTCCCTTAGCCGTTCCTCATAAGGCATCGTTTCCAGGCCTTTGACCATTTTGGTTGCCCTCCTCTGGACACGTTCGAGTTTGTCAGTGTCCTTCTTGAACTGTGGTGCCCAGAACTGGACACAGTACTCCAGGTGAGGTCTGACCAGAGCAGAATACAGTGGCACTATTACTTCCCTTGATCTAGATGCTATACTCCTATTGATGAGGCCCAGAATTGCATTGGCTTTTTTAGCTGCCGCGTCACATTGTTGGCTCATGTCAAGTTTGTGGTCAACCAAGACTCCTAGATCCTTTTCACATGTACTGCTCTCAAGCCAGGTGTCCCCCATCTTGTATTTGTGCCTCTCATTTTTTTTGCCCAAGTGCAATACCTTACATTTCTCCCTGTTAAAATTCATCTTGTTTGTTTTGGCCCAGTTCTCTAATCTGTCAAGGTCGTTTTGAAGTGTGATCCTGTCCTCTGGGGTGTTAGTCACCCCTCCCAGTTTGGTGTCATCTGCAAATTTGATCAGGATGCCCTTGAGTCCATCATCCAAGTCGTTGATAAAGATGTTGAATAAGACCGGGCCCAAGACAGAACCCTGTGGCACCCCACTAGTCACTCTTCTCCAGGATGGCGTCAGAGAAGTGTGGGAGGAAAGGTTTAGCTCAGAGGCAGAGCTCATGCTTTGCAGGCAGAAGGCACCAGGTTCAGCCACTGGCATTTCCAGCAAAATGAATCAGGTAGCAGGTGGTGAGAAGTACCTTGCTCTGTTTGAGACCTTGGAGCACTGCTGCCAGACAGAGGTTAACTATGCTTGGTTACATTAGGCAAGGCCTATGACATGGCATAAGGCAACTTACTAGGCTCCCTAGATGTGGACAGAGGATGGGCAAGTTGCACACTTCTCATGGACAGAGCTTCTGAGTAATATCCAAAGCTACCCTTTATATAGGCAACTTTGCTATCGTCTCTTTTGCATGGATGAGTCAAGAATGCATGTTCATTACATTGCATTTGACTGTTTATTAAAAATGATGATCCAGGGGTGGGTAACACTTTGAGGGGGCTTGATAGTCACATTGAAATTTGACCGCCATTCCAAGGGCTGCATGGCAGTGCACACACCCACACACTCAGCAGAAGGTGATAAACAGGTAGCGTATATATACAGGCACACACTCAGCAGAGGAAGGGAGACAAGCTGGCATAAGAGGGCCTGCTCCTGTTCCATTGTTGCCATGGGGAGCAGAAACACTGTCAGTAGGTCTTAGAAAGGAAACAGGAAAGAGCATTCCTTCCTGTTTCCCAAACCTCTCTGAGGCTATCTAACAATGTCACCAACATTCAAAGAACGATGCCAGGTCAGATGTAGAAGGGACCCTTTGGAAGGTGAAAAGAAGCAACAGCACCTCCCCCCCCCCGCTGTGTACCAGATCAATGGAGAAATGGTGGGACTTAATAATGTCAACTGCTGAACAACCCTTTTTATAAGGATTGTTTTTGTTTTTTTAAGAAAGAAGGCAAATTGTTGGAGTGGTAGTTCGGGACCACCATGAATTGCTTCAGGAGTCCAGATACAGCCCACAGGTCAGGGATTAACCATCCCTGCTAAGTGCTATTTTTAAAAAAGCATTAAGAAACCACATGGATAAAAGAAACAAAACTCTTACATGCTCCTCTTCAAACTGGTCTCCACCAAACGCCGCCACACAGGGCTTGATACCTCCTGTTCCAAGAGCAATCAGAGTCAGGCCAGTCATCGACAGAACCCTTCAAACAGGAATGGAGACATTTCAGCACCACGGAAGGGTGTGTGGGTGTGTGTAGGGATAATAGCAGCACCTCCCAACTACATTGCATATCAAAATACTTTTCTCCCCAATAAAATTTTATTAAGACCTTTCATGATGTGTTACAACAAAAAATGAACTAATCTAAACAGAAAAAAGAGAAAAGGGAGAATGCAAAGTCCTCTCTTACAGGTAGATCTTAACTTGTCCCACACAGAAAGAGGTGAACCCTCCCAGCCTCCCAGTCTGGGAGATCTTTCCTTCCCTGCTTCTCACACAGGGTCCTTCCCCAACCATCCATCACATTCATCTGCATGCAAACTCCTGATTAACCCTGAGTGGAGGACCAGAATACTTTGAAGCACATTACTGAAGGCCCATTCACACTTGGTGTGTGACACCTGCTTTTCTGCAAGAAGGGGCTGAATACGGGGTGAGTGGGGGTGAGTGAGGCCAGTTGCATGAGTTAAACTGCTTCCCAACTAGGAAAGAGAGTAATAACCAAGTGGGATCTTTATTCTGAATCCCAAAAAGTGTGCTACCAGAGAGATTGGTATGCTACAAGGGAGGAAGCAATCAAACCATCATGCTGGATTGGGCAGAAACCATCCTCTCACTTTCTCTATCACTTTCCAGGCAGTGATAACTGTCCTGAGGGTGCACTGGAAGTCTCTGAAGCAGCACTTGCTATGGCTGATTAGTGCAGGAAAATCACAGAAGCATCACCATTCAAGCCTGGTTTCAGATTTTACAGGGCCCTTCCCTCAGCAGACTACCCCTTAGTGCTGACTGACCCCCCCCCCACCTCAGAGCCATCTCCTCTGAGCGTCAGCACTACTGCAGCTGCCAGCCTCACCTTCCCAGTACATTTCCGAACACAATTCAAAGTGTTGGTGCTGAACTTTAAAGCCCTAAACAGCCTCGGTCCTGTATACCAAAGAAGCATCTCCACCCCCATCGTTCTGCCCAGACACTGAGGTCCAGTGCTGAGGGCCTTCTGACGGTTCCCTCGCTGCAGGGAACCAGGCAGAGGGCCATCTTGGTAGTGGCACCTGCCCTGTGGAACGCCCTCTGACCAGATGTCAAAGAGAAAAACAACTACCAAACTTGTAGAAGACATCTGAGGGCAGCCCTGTTTAGGGAAGCTTTTAATATTTAATACACTATTGTATTTTAATATTCTGATGGAAGCTGCCCAGAGTGGCTTGGGAAACCCAACCAGATATAATTAAAATTATTATTATTATAATATTATTATTATTCCCTTTGCACTCACTCTGTGAACTCACTGGTAGCCATGGCACTGCCACCAGCTAAGCCCACTCATGAGTGTGAGGTGAAGCGGATGAGACAGCCAGTTCCACCCTTGTATAGCGAGTGGATTTACTTGGCACCAGACACTGGGAACCAACCTGTCACTTTGTCCCTGACCACCACTTTCAGGTAGCAGGTATTGGGTAGTGACAGAATGTGCTAGAAGAGCAAACCAGGCATCAGCCCCAGGGGGTTCCATGCTGATGCTGGGCCTGTCACCATGGCAGGCAAACACACTGCTGTCTGCTTTTGGTAAGGGCTGTAGCTCAGTAGAAGAGCACAAGCTTTCCATGCAGAAGGTTCTGTTTTCACTCGCTGGAATTTCCAGGCAGGACTGCGAAAGGTTCCCTATTGGAAACCCTTGAGGGCCACTGCCCAGTCAGCCTAGATAGATAATACAGAGCTAGATGAACCAATGGTCTGAACAAGGCAGGTCCTGCTCCTGATAACACTGTATTTTTAAAACATTCTGATAACACTGTATTTTTTTAAAAAAACCCCAAAACATTGAAATATTACAGTACTCATGTGCCTCCATTTTCAGCCATGGCAGGGAACCAGTTTCAGCCCAGGAAAAAAAACATTATCTGTGTTATAGCAAGCCAAAGTTTGGGGAAACCCTGCTTTATTTATATGCATGCTGCACTTGCCTGGGATTTGGCAAGAAAGTTGCTAGCACACCACTAGCTTGAAGTGGGAATGATGCCTAAGGCCTGATTCAAACCTTCAGAAAAATTACATCATACAGTTCTGGAATGAGCTGCCAAAGGAAGTCTGCTAATGCGCTCCTTTAGTGTGGTTTTGGGAGCTTTGAGAAACTTATTTATTTAGGCAAGCTGTTGAAAAGTTAAGCCATTCCAAGTGATTAACTGGGGTTATCTGTTGGATGGCATTTGGATTTGTGCTGTTGCGGGTGTATTTTTGACTCTGCTGTTAATACGTAATATTTTTTCATGTGATAAGGATGTTTCATGGTGGCTTTATAAGCCTCCTTGAACAATGTGGGCCAAAAGAGTGCAGTTTTAAAAACAACAACAGCAAAAGTCTGGAATGCAAAGAACTGTGCATGTTGTTCTGTATGCTCTTTTCTGGTGTCATAACTGAGAAGGGGCTGTAGCTCAGTGGATAAGGGTCTTCCTTGCATGCAAAAGTTCAACCTGCAGCATCTCCAAGTAGGGCTTGGGGAAACTCCCTGTCCCGAAGCCTGGAGAACTGCTGCCAGCCAGTGTAAGAAGAATTTGCTTTACATGTGTAGACAGCTTTTGACATGAGGGGAGCATCTGAATTTGTGATTCCACACCTGAACTGGCACAATTTCAAGGCAGGATCAGAGGCACACTCTATTTTCCATGCTGGGTAACCCTTCCTCAGCTGGTTAAATGTTCCCTCCCCTGCAAGTCCCAGGATTGTTGTTAAATAAACTCCCAGTTTGAATGGGAGCCACCGCCACCCCCAATGGCTTTCCCTCCCTCTGTGGCAAATGCAGCTGAAGTGGGAATGAAAATGCCCTGCCTGGTTTCCCTAGGTCATTCCATACAACCAGCTGTGATGGTCAGCTTACAAGATTTCTGCAGGATTCTAAGGTGGACTCTGTCCTTGCCTGCCTATTCCGTTCACTTCTGAGAAAACCAAACATACACTTTCTAAAACAGTTGGCTTGCCCCCCCCCCGCCCCACTCCAGGTTTGGGCTTTAGATCTAAACAAAATGAAAAACCTTAAAGTGCTAAAAAATAAGTAACAGCTGAAGTTAATGAGCTTCTGAAGCATGTGGCTCTGGACAGAGGTTTGCCTGCAGCTCATGCGTAAAGCGCTTTCTAAGGGCTCATTGCTTGAAGGAGTGCTCACCCTCGCCGTGGAAATGAACGGAGGCTATGCCAGTACAGCACAAGACTTGATGCTTTGCCCCCCGAGACGCAAGACTGGTGGATTGCCTAGCACAAGGTGCTAGCAGCTTTCAAGGCTACGATGTCCGGACCTGATTTGGGATGGAGGACACGGTGCCAGCGTTAACAAAAGGCCTGAAATAACCACACAACCACCTATTGCAAGGTGCACGTGAATGATCTATACCTTAATACAAGCCAATTAATAATAATGTTATCAAAACATAGCAGACCCGTCTTTTCATTACTTACACATGAACAATTTGGTTTCCCACACTCGGTATCGCCCCAACGGACTTGATCACGTGCCCAATAACGTAAACAATGGAGAGATAAATGATTGTTCTGTGGAGGGAAAGAGAAAAAAAAGTGAGGAAATGCTATCAGCCCAAGGCAGTGGCATGATTTATAATCTGAAAACAGAACGTGTGTCTGTATTTCCTGATAGGGAAGGCACAAGGATTTTCTCTGTTACCCTCTTCCCTCTACCAGAACTGAAACTCCTCTTTCTCCATCATGCTTCAAAGCATTGAGAAAAAGCTGCAGCTGAACAGAAAGTTGGGACAACCGCACTGACAGGCACAGCTGCTCTGCTTCCCACCACTTGTGGCGGCAGGGCCAGCCCAAGACACTCTCTGCCTGAGGGACAGAACAGCAAATGGTGTCCCCAAACTCCACTTCCCAAGCCCACAGAACCCAAGCAGACCAATTTTATTCTCTTCATTTGCAAATTATTTATATTCCATCCATAGCAACAACAAAAAAGTTCTCTAAGCAGCCCAGAGTAAAAATTAATATGGCAAAGTACACAAATAAATTACCACCATATAAACAAAAACAGACTAAAAACAGCAGCAAAATAAAACCAAAGTGTGTGGGGGGGGGAGTAACAGGATGTAATGGTACGAAAGCTCTAAAATCCTACAAACACCTCTCCCCTGGAGTAATAAATTAAATTAAACAACGGGTTGATTTGCTAGCTTTTCAGCACCCCCATGGCCAGCTGTCTGAGGTAATAGCTTCAGTCTACCTCCAGTGCTAGATATGAGCTGGACAAGGGGGAGATTTCTTAAACCAGGATATAATTGTGCAAAGACCAATAAAAGTGCAAACAAAAATCTCGTTGCATAGGCAAGTTCATAAGGCACGCTAAAATTCAATGGCAAACAAAGGTGGCAATCTGTGATAACGTATATCAAAAGTTTCTAAAAATAGTACTATTAATCAGCTAGAAACTGCCCCATTTGCTCCATTAATTAATTGGGGGGGGTCATTTATGTACCTGAAGTACAGATGGACAAATTCATGAATTTTGGTTTCTATCAGGTTTCCTACTTCTCCAAACGTAAATTCAGTTCTCCACATTTCTGAATCTATTTTTGCTTTTGTTATAAATTTCATTCCTGTTGAAAAGTCATCAGAGTTCTCCTAATATCCACCCATTTGTAAGCAATTTTGCCTAATATACATATTTTGGCAAGCATATTTCTGCTAATATATGAAACATTTTTGTATGTTATTTTCCCTAATATGCACATTGTTATGCACGCATTTCCCTAACATACCCATTTTTGTACACATCATTTGGTTGGAGAACAGCATTGCAAAATTCAGAGAACCACAAACTTCACAAATTTGCATTAAACAAGGTTGCATTAAAATGTAAGCTGAAAAAATTCCTCTCCCATCTTCCACTTGAAGATGTAATATATTGTATCCTTACTTGTATTTTCCCAGCCAAGAGTCAGCCATGAGGGCACCAATGACAGGTGTAAAATAACACAGACTTGAGAAGGCATGGTAGACGGAGGTGGATGTATTCTCATCCCAGTGAAGGAAGTAGAGGAAATACAAAGTCAGAACGGCTGAGGGATAAAAACAAAGACAAAAGCAATGAGTTTCATAAACAATGTGTGAGCCCAGAATGTGACAATAATTGCCATTTTCTTTTCCTGAAAGAGGCTCTGTGCTTTTACCAGTGGTGTGACAGAAAGAAATCCAATGAGGGTCAGCTTTCACTACCATGAAAACTCTACAGCCATACCAGGCTCTGTAACTCTCCAACAGTTTGACTTTACCCCTGAAGGTGCAACTTTTCCATTGTCTCCTGAGGCAGGCCGATGCCAACAATGACTGAAAGAAACCCAAGGAGGTCAGCTTTCACTACCGTGAAAACACAGTGATGAGCAAATTGCCCTTTCTCAGTCTCTAGCTATCATCCCACTGATACAAGCATACAGCCTCCAACAGAGGAAAAGCAAGCAATCCTGGATGTCAGACCAATAGACCTTTCCTGTCACTCTTCCTTTCTCTCCCCTATACGCTCCTGGTCATTCTCCAGAGATTGTAGCCCTTGCTGACCGGCTTCCAGTTCTGCTTCCATATTACTGTCCCCAAAGGGAAGAGACAGGAGAGAGCTTCCATAGCAGGGGGCGAGATCCAACATAACTTTAGTGCAAGCAGTTTGAGAGTTGATGTCCGAGCAGTAGCACAAATAGTAATGCATAAGCTTAACTGTCACCAAGTATAATAACATTCAGTTGGGGGTTATGGAACTTTTTTCTCAACCACAAAACACTCGCTGAATTGGGCTATTGCACTATGGCTTAAGAATATGGCTTCTACTAGTGGATGAGCAGTTGCGCAAGTGGGCTGTCACAATGGGTGCTTGATGTGGAATTGATGCTTCATTTGCACACTTTTCATGAGACATCCACACAATGCTTTCATCCTTTATTGCTCCTGTGGCTCTTCCCACCTTTTCTCAGAAGGCAGAAAGTCTGACATTTTTCAGAAGAATAGAAGAGTGATGCAATCTCCACAGGTGTAGATTAGCATTAGTATTCTATCTTTTTAAAAGTATGGGGATTTGATTCTCTCTCTCTCTCTCCTCTCTCTCTCTCTCTGTGTGTATTAATGTTATTTAAAAGCATTGAAACTCCTACCAGTAACCTATGTTTGACATGTTGCTAAAATAGCAGTGATCAGAAAGGTTATTTTTAAAATCTTTTGTTTAAAATGTAGTATTATGGCACTTTAAAAAAATGAATGAGAGTCACAGCAGTGTAACACCAAATTTGTTATATAATGCTCTTTCTGACCGAAACAATTTTAGCAAAATGTACACGGCTCCCATTTACATAGTCAAGAGAGGTGATTTTTTTGTATACATGTATTCCTGAAATAGTTTTTTTAAAAAAACAGCATTATAGTGTTATAGCACTATACCTTTCATTCATTAACAAAGGCAAGAAAGGTTTTTAGAGCTTATTAAAAGACAAAGTTTTAAAAACAGGGCCATACAAAATGGCTGCTGCAAGGGTTTTAGTAGATGTGTGCTGAGCTTCAGTTGACCCCACCCACAGCAGTTATGTCATGAGCACTTGTGTACAGAACACAGCAGCATGCAGACACAGAAAAAGTTCAGAACTCCCAATAATGTGGAAAGTCAAGTGCAACTTCACTTGTAGCTTATAGCAGAAGTGCAATTATTCAGGAGCCACCCACCTGGAAGCAGCCTCTGGCACCATGTTTATAACCTTTCAGTCTATCCTGTTAGTGTGTACACGTATCAGAGACAGCTGATGTATCTGAGGCAATTTAAGATCTGAAGGCAAGGAATCTTTTCAGATAATTCCTACTATTAATTCTCTCCTCCCACCCACAGGCCACCTTTTATCATCCTAAAGGCAAAACAAATTGCAAAGAGAGCCAAACTATTCTCTGAGAAGCTGTGGAGAAATGATGAAAGATATAACACACACCTTTCATGCCATAGTAGGAGAAGCGCTCGCAAAACTCATTCACCACAATGAAGGCGATGCTGAGAGGGTAATTGGTACCACATACTTTCTAAAGAAGCAAACCAGAAAAAAGGTAGTGTCATACAAAACTTGTCCTTCGGTCATATGTACAGTTGACATAATGACGCACAGCACGCAGAATCCCAGAGTCAAATGTACAAACCTATAATTCAATACTGAATTGGCAGATGTCCCCAGAGAAGGGATTCGAAGGAAATACAGAGTTTATAATAAACAAAGGCTTGCCCAAAGGCTGACAATCAGCACAGTGAACAAATGTCAAATGGAGGTGAATACGTTTGAAATATATATTTCTCCCTCTGTATAAATTTTCCAGCTATAGCAGGCATAATTGCAGCTTTGCAAGTTAGATAAACAGGAACCACAAACGTGTGTTCATGATTTTCTTCAAACTCATCCCTTGCATTCCCAGTCACCACACTCTACAGGAAAGGGCCTCCTGCAGACACCTTCTCATCAGGAGTCCTCTTCCATATGATGAAGAACCAGGCAGCACCTACCCTTGGAACGCCAATCACATATCAGACATACCTTATCCATTACCTTTTCAGCACCCCTGGAAGACCTTCCTTCACCAACAAGCCCTTTACGTGTGGATTTTTAAAAAATCCTTGTCCTTATCTGCCTTGGACTTGAAATTGTTCTTATTGCTGTTTTGATATTTTTCACTGTTAAATTGCTTTGGGATGTTTTATGGGAAGTGATCCATAAATGAAACGAAACGAATAATTACATGACCACCTGGTCTAAGGGACAGCTTATGTGAGGGAAAACAGCTGTTGGCAAAAAAAAAAAAAGGAAAGAAAGAAAGAAAAGAGGAGGAAGAATTTTTGTGGATCAGAAGTGATCAGGACAGATGTCAACTGCGTTTCTAGAAAGTTCCATTTGTTCCATTTAGTGATTAATTCTAACCACGAAGCAAATCCCAGCATGCTTGGGTTCCACCTATCCAGTAGTTTGTAATGAGAGCTATCCAGTAGTTTATGTCATCAACAGAAAAATAAACAAAAAGGGGGAAGAAAATGATAATGCCAGTGTCAGTAAGATACAGGTCTCCAGACATCACACAAAAAAGGATTACTATGTGACTGGAAGCAACGTGACATTCATATTGCATTCAGAGCCAAGCCCTCACTTTGTCCTCAACTTTGTGAGGCTTCGCTGTAAAACAAGGAAACAATGTTAGCTGGCATTTTCCCCAGAGTGCTGTTGCATCATTTTGTGGTGTTATCTCAGGACATAAAAGAGACAGCATAGCCTATGGAGAAACATAAACCCATCTGATAGTGGGGAAAATAAACAGCCCATCCAGTGCTGGTGACATGGTTCTGACAGCAACTATCTGGTTAGGTGAATCTGAAGGCCCAAATCTAGAAATTTGAAATTTATATTTAGGCACCGCAGATATGAACAAAACAATTAAACTTGCACTTCCTCAGCAGGCTCTATCCCAACCAACAAGCATTCATGTGAATATGCGCAGTGAGCTCCTGCGTGAACTCCTTGGAAATCAGAAGCTGCTGAACACACAGAAAAAGCCCTCCACACATACAGTTCTACATGGAGGGATTCTCTATACATGCTCAAAAAATGCTGAGTCTGCAGCAGCAATCCTGCTCCATCCAGCACATGTTCACTGGAACTTCTGTTAAGGGGAATTTTTGCTCTCCTATCAGGAGTGTTCACTAATCAGGTGAGTGTCATCATGCTGTCAAAAACCGGCATGAATTCAAAATGAGGATTAGTACATTAGGCATGCCAAGGATGCTCCTGAGCACTAACCCCTATTTTGTACTCTGTTTGGATTCATTCAAACATCTGTCATTATCCAATGAGCAATTATTTTCTTTCAAAGTAAAAATAGCATCTACCTAGCATCATTTCATGCATCTTAGCAGAGCAACACACATCAATGCCAGAAGAAGAGGGAAACCCTTCTCCTTCTAAGTTAATGTACGATGTGAACCAGAAAGCACATATATCAGAATCACTGTGGGATTAGGGATGGGTGAATCTGTCCATTTCACTTTCCCAGTTTTCCAGTCTTAAATTCAGCTTTCCATATCAGTTGGTTATTTTTTATTAAAAAATATAACAGTCCTTACTGGGCTAACTGCATTGCAGAATTCAGAGAAAGACGGATTTTGCAAGATGGCTGTATTTTGGTACTGTGTATGGTTTCAGAAAGGGACGCAGGTGGCGCTGTGGGTAAAAGCCTCAGCGCCTAGGGCTTGCCGATCGAAAGGTCGGCGGTTCGAATCCCTGCGGCGGGGTGCGCTCCCGTTGCTCGGTCCCAGCGCCTGCCAACCTAGCAGTTCGAAAGCACCCCCGGGTGCAAGTAGATAAATAGGGACCGCTTACTGGCGGGAAGGTAAACGCCGTTTCCGTGTGCTGCGCTGGCTCACCAGATGCAGCTTTGTCACGCTGGCCACGTGTCCCGGAAGTGTCTCCGGACAGCGCTGGCCCCCGGCCTCTTAAGTGAGATGGGCGCACAACCCTAGAGTCTGTCAAGACTGGCCCGTACGGGCAGGGGTACCTTTACCTTTACCTTTATGGTTTCAGAAAGTATGGATTAGGCAAGATCACCTTTAAATGTGAACTGAATCAAATTTCTCTCTCATCCCTACATCTCATTAATGAGAATAGAATTGAAAATCTAAGTAAGTTGCTCCTAACCAAGTGTGTGTTTACATTTCAGCTGAGGGTAGAACTACCTATTCCACCTCCAGTGCCTCCAAACCTAGACACGATTGCTTCTTGCAAAGAAGTTCTGGGCGGGTGCAACTTGCAGCAGAGAAGTGATAGGCAGGAAGAGGGTGCTTAAACCTTCCCTTGCCAATCACTTTCCCCCTTGAAGTTTCCTTCTACTAGCAGCCCTGGTTCATTTGTGTTAGTAGACGAAATAGAGGTCTGGAAGCCCTGGTTCTAATATTTGAAAATAACTTTTATTAACCCAGAACACTTTATTCTGGAACCTTTGATTTTCTCTGTTTATTAATCTGCAACAATTACCTCCCAAGTTCTGAGGAGATTTATGTGGCCTTGCTAAACTTCTTCCACCACTGCTTTCAGTCCTGCATATCACTCCTTCCCACCTTGTCTATTTGGGAAACCTGTCTTGTCAGGCATCCGAATGTGACATAATGTTTGAATAGAGTACACACAAATAAACATAAACCAACTTGTATGTGTGAGAACAAGCAATTTGGTCAATTCCCAGAATGAATGAGGGAACTTGAACGTTTTTCAGGCCTACACACATTGCATTTTGTACAGATGTGACCTTTTCAGACACTATATTCACTGGAACAGGTATGCCTGATGGGCATGGTGGAATGTTGTGAACTTGCTTCCCTATAATACTTAAAGGGGGGGTGAGTATGATCACATAATCTAGGTCCAAACACCTGTTTTGTGTTTGTGTGTGGGAGCAGGGCTTAATAAAAAAATGTAAACCATTAAAGGTAAAGGTAAACGTACCCCTGACCGGAAGGTCCAGTCACGGACGACTCTGGGGTTGTGCGCTCATCTCGCTCTATAGGCTGAGGGAGCCGGTGTTTGTCCACAGACAGCTTCCATGGTCATGTGGCCAGCATGACTAAGCCGCTTTTGGCGAACCAGAGCAGTACACGGAAATGCCATTTACCTTCCCGCCGGAGTCGTACCTATTTATCTACTTGCACTTTGACTTGTTTTTAGCCCATAGTTTATTCCAGTGGATATTGACATTAAGGGGAACAACACAAAATTATGTTGGCTCATTCCTTAAGGTAATTACAGCATTAACTTATGAATTTGCACAGGTGTCAATGCTAATGCGTTCCTGTATCCATCCTTGAATCTGCACAATGACAAAACTATATACAGTGAAAGAAATTCATCTGATCAAAACCTCAGTCAGAACACTTTTCCAGATTATCACTAGTCATGCTGCTGAGTGACCCAATTAGACCCTGTCCCCATGACTCCTCATTTTTATTAACACTATTAATTTTTTTAATGGATTGAGAGGACATTCCTACACATGAGCACTCACCAAGCCACCCCTTGTTTTACTAAAAACCAGCAAGGTTTCCCCTCTCCACCTGTTTCATCATGTATGTTCCTCTTCATTAGCCTTTTGACTTTTACAAATATACATAGCACAATCTTGTTCTTTGAAGGTTATGTACTTCCTACTCCAGTGCTTGACTGCACATCTACCTTAATTTCTTCCTTAATTCACCATTGCATATCTATTCCTTTCACAGCAATCTTTAAACTAGCTCTCTACAAATACAGTCTGGAGAATAAAATGTGTGCTTTTGAATAAGCTAGAAAGGCTCAGGAGCACTTATCCTCAGAGAGGGGAAAGAAGGAGAAAAAAAATCTAGTGGAAATTCTGACAATAGAACTAACCCATATCAAAATATTGCCGCTGAATTGGAAGCTGCCTCCACTTTTGAAATCCAGCAAGCAAAGCTGCAGGCTCACCTCCCCCTCTATGTATATCATTCTTGCTTCCTTCAAAAGAGTGTTGTTTTTGCCTGGGAAATGCATTCCAAGAAGTGGTAATTCCCAAAGAAGCCATTGGCTCGGGTTTGTTCCTCTGTTGTCTGAGCTGCCTTTCTAGTACATTAATCAGGTTAGCAAGAAAGAATTTCGTTTCGAATCTCTAATGCTAATACCAACCCTAGGCAAGAAATGGTGCTTGTCTGTCTGAGGCCAAAGCACAACAGGGGAAGGCGAGAGCTCGAGAATTGTTCCAGGGAAGTTGAAAGAAACAGCAAAATAAACTTGCCCCCCAAATAAAAACAGCCCTCCACCACAACCCTTCCACCACACCACAACCAAGGCAGATCAAATACTTACCGGGGACTTTTTCTCAGGAGGGCAAACTCCTTCTGAAGGATTATCTCCTGCAGAAATAAAAGTGAACAGAGTCTCCTTAGATTCTTTTCTCCCTGAGAGGTCCATCCTATGCTTTTCCTTTTTCCCTCCCCAGTTTGCCTCACACAACTCTCTGCTGTCGTGGTGAGTTGGTTGGGAAGACTTCCAAATGAGTGGAGTTTAGTTCAGATTTAAGTTAACCCTGATTGTGCACATTTTTCTCTCTGCCAGGCTGAGGCAGGAGGACAGCTTCATGAGGAAGGAGAAGAGCAAAGTTAAACTGGGCTGGTGAAGCTGTCACTAAATCACAACGGTCACAGGGCTGTCCTCAGCACCTGCAGGCAGGGCTGTGTGCCGTTTGCTCTGAGCACACTTCAGGTACTCTGAGTAACCCTTGTGTTGAGTCAAGCGAAATGCATACTGAATGATAATCCCTATTCCAAATGTTGAAACTCATAATTAGTGGCAAGGTTTGTGGCTTTGGGCCATCTCTGCTATAATAGCAGGCTTATTCTGCAGGAACCACAGGCATCCCCGCCTATTTGAAACTAGCTGGCTGAAGCAAAATGATGCATTGAAAGCACAGAGCAAATGAGCTCTGTGTGGCTTACACTTAGATTTCTGCTGCTCATTTGCTATTTAGGCGCTGCTTGGCTTTAAAAGACTCTGATATCTCACTAATAAAATGCTCCCCAATAAGCTTGCCACAGGAAGAGCAAGATATAAGAGCAATAAATAAATGCATACATAAAATAAATAACTGTGAAGAGCTCCTCACATTTCTTTTGATTGACCCTCTTTTTAATAGTCTCTTATCTGTGCAGCCACCGTAGGCTACTAGTATGGGTAATAAATGGATTCCTCATGCACCCCTCTGCAGAGATAAGGGCAGGGCTTGTATGTAACTGTTTTTGTGTTTTGTGGGATGCTTCCCGCAGGGTTGTTTATAGCTTACCCTGCTCCACAGGAGGAGATTAGCTAGCAACGCTAGTACCTCACAAAGGACTTACCATTTTTGAACAAATAGGTGGGGGAGAAAAGGCAGCTTGGAACTACTGTGTGATTAAAAGTGTGTAAGATGCCCAGCCCCTCAAAATCCACTCCCTCCAGATTTATTTGTCCATATTGGCCTATGCCCGGTTTTTGCTCATATTGTAAAAATAAAAATCCATCCATTTATATCTCCTCATCTCCCACTGTGAGAACATACAGGACAAAAGGAGAAGAGTCACAGCCATTGCTCCACTCACTTTTGCCTTGGGCTCTGCCTACCACTTGTAGGTGACCCTTGAAAGATGATCCATGAGGAAATGTGGCTCTTGGGCTGAATAAGGTTCCCTACCCCTAGGGCTTTTAAAAATCTTGCTGTACCATTCAGGCAGCAGTTCCGCTTTTTATCGCAGTGGCAGACTCTGGGCTCTCAAGTTTCAGCAGTGCCCTGTGCAATGGCAACATTTGGCCCCACACCGCCTCTTGGGCTCCATGCTACAGCACTGTTGTGGCAGCTGCACCAGTTGTGCTACCCTAAAACCGCCTCTGCTCATAGTGCTGCCTTAAAGCAGGATCACTTCTTTCTAGGCTGCACACGAGGGTCTATCCTGACTGTGATCAAAGTTTCTGCGGCTGCATGTGTACAGGAGATTCTACTGCCTGGGCAAAGGAGGACTGGGATATAAATCTATCTTCTCGTCTTTCCAGTTGTCCTACTTAGACTAAGCTGTGACTCTCCAGATGTCGCTGGCAAGTGTGCCAGCTTGCCCCCATGACTGAGAGGGTCTTGGCCGTGCAACATGCTGTCGTCACTCGCGCATGCTGTGTAGTGTGCTGATGTGTCATATGCATGCTGCACAGCTTTTGTGAAAGATGTCAACATACCTCACAGTGTACACGCATGGCCACCATGGGATTTTGAGGGGGTCAAGCCCCCACTCCTTGAAAATTTGGAGAGCCCCTAGACGCCCCTAGCTTCTGGACTCCCACTTCCATCAACCCAAGCCAGCAGAACCACTGGTCATGAATGATGGGAGTTGTAGTCCAGCAACATCTGGAGGGCCAAAAGTTCCCCCACCCCTGTTCTAGACAAATGTATTACAAGCACAAACCATACCAGAACCAAATTACAACCTGAAGTTCACAGTCTCTCATTTCTTATCAGCCCCAAGATCAAATTGCATGCTACCTCTGCAATCAATACCGAAACAGCAAACATTATTTCCACTGCATCGCTCCCTTCAGGGACACTCACAGCCAGGGCTCCTATGTTTTATCTGCTCCTTGTTTTGTTATTGTAATGTAGGACCCTTCTTTCCTTGCTGCTGTTTGTTGCTTCGCATTTTAAGGTGAACGACTTTATAGGAACACACACCCCTATTATTTTTTCCACTGTTCAAGTCTTGGCAAAAATCTGTCATTTTTGTTGCTGCTGCTGTCTGTCATACAAGTGCTGAGCGACTTGCTAAAGGGCATGTCTATAGCCACAAGATGACCTGGGAGGGCAAAGGCCTTACCCCCGTGCCATTCCTGGCCTTCCTGCAAGTTCTTTACCGGCTGTTTTACGTCCAACAACAAAGAGCAACAACATTCGTACTAAAAAGGCAATTCACACTGCCGCTGTCTCTGGACAGAGCAATGCATTGGAGGGACAGCTGTAGCTCAGTGGTAGAGCATCTGCTCTGCATGCAGAAGAACACAGATTCAGTCCTCATCATCTGCAGGCAGAGCTGGGGATGTCCCCAGTCTGAAACTCTAGAGAGCTGCTACTAGTCTGTGAGGACAATACTGAGCTTGGTGGACCAGTGGTCTGAATCAGTATAAGGCAGCTTCTTCTGTTCATATCTGACGCAAGGCTGCTGCTAAAAATGGCAGCTGCTTGTCTAGTTCTCCATCTTCTCCCATGTAGTTTTTAGCCATACTTGCAACATGCATTGCAAGGTGGTTGGGATGTGAACTTTTCTGCCATCACTCCATATTTGGCTCCTGCTGGCAGCAGTGGGGAAACGCCAAATGTTATCATATATAGGAGCCTACTCCTTCAGCCTCCCGCCAAAGATGATGGGCATTGGTATTCAAACGGTGTCTGCATGCCACGTCTTGTGATCAGTTAAGCAGTGTGGGGCTTACCTGGGCCCCTCCCAATATTTTATTCAAGTTGGCACCCCTGTGATGATACCACACAACAGGAGAAGACGTGCCTATATGAGCATGCCGTTGAGGTGGAAAAACTCAACATTGGGCTACATTTTTAGAGGCAGCTCTGTGTTCAGCATAACATATAGTGTTGCTCCCATTTAGAGGAAGTGCAAGGATGGGGTTTTGTGGATTATTGCTTAAATATATGCATTGGTGTTCACTTCCCTAATTAGCTAGCTATGAGTAAGATCTGAAGCGAGGCACCATTAATTAACAAATGACCTCAGCAGCACCAATCTGATGTCCCACCCTGCTTTACCTTTAGGCTGTCATCTTTCTACACCGCAAAAGCCTCACCAATTTATTCTTTTTCTGAAACTCTTTCCAAGGCTGTCTGTCAGATTAAACCTACTGTGCTGATTTTCGTGTTGTTTTTACAGAGTCCCTGAGAAGTGATCTTAATGTTTATTGCTTAGCAAGAACCTGAGGGACAGAATGTGGATGGTAAAAACCCATTTATTTTGCGCTAGGGGGGTAATAAAACCCTAGGAAGAGTGCTTAATATGTTAATGCTGCAATACTAACCCTATTACCTGGGAATAACCCCGCTGAATTCAGTAGGAGGTGCTTCTGTGTAGACATGGTCAGGAATGTATTTAATTCTGTTTGTATCTTATTCACATTACATTTTATTGAAATTCTTTAAGAAATGAAGTCTGCTGCAATCCTGTACATATTTACCTAGGAGAAATTCCCACTGAACTCACTGGGGCTTACTTCTGTGCAGATTATGTGTAGGATTGCACGATATAATGTTTGAATAATGGGCAAGATCTATTGCTTCCTCATGCATTGCTCCACACTCATAAATCTGCACTTGTGGAAGTGCTTCCCCACAAGGAATACTGAGTCCTTTCTGTCTCTCCCACCAGCCTCCAGCCACTTGCAACTACTGCTGCGTGCATTGCAAGGTATTCCATCATTACCAAGAACGTGAGGGCTATGCACACATCTCCTTAATATATAGTGGCCTGTTCCTTGCTAGGCCCAAGAAGAAGAAGAAGAAGAGTTTGGATTTGATATTCCGCTTTATCACTACCCTAAGGAGTCTCAAAGTGGCTAACAATCTCCTTTTCCCTTCCTCCCCCACAACAAACACTCTGTGAGGTGAGTGAGGCTGAGAGACTTCAGAGAACTGTGACTGGTCCAAGGTCACCCAGCAGCTGCATGTGGAGGAGCGGAGACGCGAACCCAGTTCCCTGGATTACAAGTCTACCACTCTTAACCACTACACCACACTGCAGTATGCAAGATATATTATTTGCTCACTTGGAGCCCAGGAAAGGAAGGGCCACTGCATTAGGGATGCTTCCTTTTTTTCATTATTAATTTTTATTAGGTTTAAAAAAAAATAAGAAATTTTATTTAACATACAATGTGTATATTTTTCTTTTTGATTGCCCACCCTTTCCACACTGATGTTTTTATTCTTATCCTTCATTGCTGCATTATACTTGGCAAATCCCTGATTCCTATTCCACATGTGGTTCAAACTGTTCTCTTTTGTCCTGTCCCACATGAGAAAGGAGGATTTTCTATCCCCCCTTTTTTCCTGCACAGCTGTTTTCCCCCCATATTGATTTTTATTTTGTTACATAAGGACTTAGCATCCAGTTTCTTTTGCTAAACAGATAGCCTGGCACATTCCTGTTTGTTAGGAGAATGAGCCTTTGCAAAACTAAAGAGCAGGCCAAGTATAGGTAATTTGTTGCCATAGTAGTTAATGGTCAGAGATGTCATGTGGGAGCAGTAATGTCAGCATAATAATGTACGCTATGGCATCATATGATGAATAAAAATCCCTTTTTTTTTGCTGTGCCAGAAAACACGCAGCAATTCACCATGAAAATTTACAGACACATGTATTGTGTGGGGGGGTGTAGTTGTGGAGTGGACTTTGGGGTGCTGGAACATCCCAAACCATTGTAACTTCTAAAATGGCCTTGCATTCTCCGTAATGGCAAGGATGCTTTGCAGTGCACCTTAATAAGTGTCAGAGGAGAGGGACGTGAAAGGGCTCCATCAGTTGCCTGAGGGGAAAGGCCCTCCCACAATATCTCCACCGGCTGATTGATATTTTACAGTGAAAGCAGCAGTCTTCAAAGTTTTGTAAACACAATTCACAATTAGTTTAAAACCGAAAAAGAACAGCTGAACCTTTCACAGGTTGGAACTATACTTCTCCTCGACACAATTCTGCAACAAAGACACATGCTGTTCTCGAGTTCTCCT